GACCTGCTCTCCCATGTACTGCCGCTGGTGAGGGGGCAGGGCCAGCTCACCCACTCTTGGGACCCAGGGGTGGCTCTCTCACCTGCTGGGGGGTCTGATTCTTGGGCCTTCTCTTTGGGCTTTTTGATTTTTCTGTTAACCTAACTTGTCAAACTTCAATATGATGGTTTTTATCTTATATTAATTTTATTTTGTCATGTTTTGTTGTTACTCCTTAGAAGTCTGTTCTTTCCTAACAAGACACAAAATGGGATTAAATCTGGTTGCGAGAGGAGGTGGGGAAGAACAGGGAGGAGATGAACTAGCAGGAGCCAGGCCTTGTGGAGCAGACCTGCTGTTTAATAGCCAACCAGCCAGTTCTCATTCCATTCAATACTGGACTTAGAGTCAGTAGAGATAAGTGTGCAATGCAGAGAAAAGCTATCTATAGTTAGGCCAAAAGATTAACCCACTGACATTGCAAAGCTCCAACGCTCAACAGCCTTGTGGCTCCCTGGCTTTCCCATCACTGAAAGCCTACTATTGCTTGTGTCTACTGCTAGCCAGTTGGATAGCCCTTGAAGGCAACACACACATCTTACCACACCTGAACCCCTAGCATCAGGAACAGGGCTATATGACATACCTAGAGGAAAGAATGAATAAATCAAGAAAATGGAAATGTCATGATATCCATGAGGCCTTGAACTTGGCTGTCTATGTCTCTTTTTCTCTTGGAGGAGGGGTTTGGACTTTTGAGGCAAAGAAAGCTAATATCCCAAGAGTCCTGAGGACCAGGGAAGAGTTCTATTCCTACTCTCTCATGCCCATCAACCAATACCTATCAGTCATGGGCAGAAAAAGATATGTACCCTCGCCTTGATTGTAAGTGAAAAGGCTTGAAATGTCCCATCTAGCCTGAAGAATGACCAAGTATCTGTGACGTTTGACAAGGGAGGCTTTCCTTGTCTGGCCAAACCAGGGCCCCTAAAGCAAGATAGCAAATGTGACTTGAAGATATCAACACTGGGATTTGGTGCAGACCTCCAACGATACTTTTTGGTATAGCCTTTCTGCATTAAGACTGCATTAATAAAGTCTTTCAATTTCTGTATTTTGATCCTTCCACATCTGGGCCTAGAGGACCCAGTAAGTTTTGACCCCTCTTAGGCTTAGCCAATTTCTAGAGCTCATCAACAACTCACCAGTGAGCTTCTCCCAAAGAGTTGAGCAGTTCATAGCCTGAACACAATGACCTCAGCCACCATCCACCTATGTCCTAGCCCGCAAGATCCTAGGGCATGTGCCAGACAATGCCATATGGCCCAGAGCCCACTTAGAATCTTCAAACCAGCCAGCTTGCAGCCTATTTACTGTGGCTCACCAGCTTCTTCCCACTGGAACCATAACCAAGAATCATGGCCTCAGTTTCCCCCATCTACTCTCTGACTCCTGTCTGAGCCTAAAAGGTCTCATATGGTCCAGCCTCTTCATCTTGGAGTCATTTCATTAGTCTAAGGGTCTCATGTGTGGGCTTTGTCATATCGAAAGAGTCAGAGTAGGGAAAACAGCATTCTATAAATCAGACTGCTTCTAATAATTAGAATAGTGGATTGACCATCATTAGTAGAAAGTACAGCTAACCCACTGCAAAGCCAACCACAAATAACCAAGAATGATCAGCGGTCCCATGCTCTGGGTTTAATATCACATTGTAGAGACTCCTGTCTCAAAACTGAGCCAACAATTCTCTGCACACAGGTTAAGCCAACCAGTCCATCTTGTAAGATCTCGCTGTGAGTACTGTAGGCTAGCGACCTAATATGCAGCTAGTGGGAGCTGGTGAGAGTCAACCATGCCAGACTCAAGGGCTAACCCATCCCAACCCAATACAAGCACCTCCAGCGCACAGGTATTACTAATACAAACATTAATCCTTTTTTGTTTTGTTTTGTTTTTGTTTTGTTTTGTTTTTGCCTTGCTTTATTTATGAGAAAAACACTTGTCAAATAATCATTATGCCATATGATTAAAATGTTGCACAATGTAAGCAATAAAGAGACAACCCACAAAATGGTAGTAGTACTTGGAAACTATATAATCAATAACATTAATATCCAGGATATATACATTTCTTGATGTTAATAAGCAGAATCGGTTAATAAACAAAAAATGCACCTCCTGACTTAAAAATATGATATCTTACTGGGCAGTGGTGGTGCACGTTTTTAATCCCAACACTCAGGAGGCAGAGGCAGAACCATCTCCATGAGTTAGAGATCAGCCTGATCTACAAGAGCGAGTTCCAGGACAGCCAGGATTACACAGAGAAAACCTGCCTTGAAAAACAAACAAACAAAAAAATTGACGTCATATCTCAATAAATATTTCTCAAAAAAAGAGTAGCATCGAGATCCCAAACTCACTGAGGCCCTGTTGTGGCTTGGTAATCTTCCCAAGAGGATACCAACAGATGCCATCTTATGGCCCTTGGTCCTTGTTCAACCCCTTCCCACATGTGCTTTTTACAGTAAGAAAGTAGACAACTGATTCAAACATTTGGTTGAGAGCCCTGGGACTCTAAGTAATTCCTTCCAAGTCTTGAAGGGCACAGTCGCCAGAGCTCATGGGTATCAGCCTCTGTCCCCAGTCTCTCTTCTGATTCAGAGGACGTACTCTCCCTCGATCTTTCACTAGGTGCTTTGTCCTGTACTTTGGTATCCGGTCATCACTTCTCTCTTCTGACTATGTCTGTTCTCTGCTGTCTCATGAAATGCAAGCTTGCCTCCCACAGTTAATATTTTAATGCATTCAACAAATAGTACTTGTGAAAAGAAGTTGAGCTGGCGGTCAAGCACTTAACTTCCTCTTGTCCATTTCATGCCAAATTTAAAAGAAAAACAAAACCTATAAGGCCATGACCCACCTGAATAAATGCAGGGTCCAGGGACCCTGCTTACTAGGCTTCCTTGGCTCCCCAGCAGTCATGGTTCTGCAAAGCTTCCCAAAGACATGAAGGAAGAACTACACTTGACCCCGAGTTCTGGTAGGACCAGCACCTCCCATCTCTGACTCATGTCACAGAAAACAACAGTCCTACCCGCCCAGAGACCTCTCAGTTCACATCTATTCGATGTGGATTCTGAATCAAACTCTCAAAGGAGACTACTTTGAGGTCACAAGTCAGGTAGGGCCATCTATGGTCAAGGGTGGTGTCTTAGTTAGGGTTACTATTACTGTGATGAAACCCCATCACCAAAACAAGTTGGGGAGAAAGAGTTGATCTGGCTTACACCTCCATATCACTGTTCATCAAAAGAAGTCAGGACAGGAACTCAAACAGGGCAGGAACCTGAAAGCAGGATCTGATAGAGACCATGGAGGGTGCTGCTTACTGGCTTCCTTTCCACAGCTGTTCAGCCTCATTCTAATAGAACACAGGACCACTAGCCCAGGGATGGCACCACCCACAGTGGGCTGGGCCCTTCTCCATCTATTACTAAGAAAAGGCCCTACAGCTGGATCTTTGAAGATATTTCTTAACTGGGGTTCTCTTCTCTCAGTTGACTCTAGCCTGTGCCAGGCTGACATAAAATTAGCCAACACAACTGAGCCCTTGACACACAATACTTTTGAAGATATAACCTTTCCTTTTTTGGTTCATGCCCAAGGTCTCAGATTAATAAATACCACAAAGATAAAACATACGTGCCACAATCTTTACCAATTCTCCATAAAATCCAAAACCTCTTCAAAATTCAAAGTCTCTCAGGACTGTGGGTTCCTATAAAATAAAAAAAAAATAAGCTAAATACGTTCTTACTCACAGAGGGAAGAACGGGGCACGGTCACTATGAAATCAAAGCAGAACCACACTCCAACAGTGTAAATAATTCAATGCCCAATAGCTGGGATTTACTCACAGTGTTTCTGGGCTCCTCCAACGGCCATGAATCACTTCTCTGGTTTCATCCTCTGCTGCACACAGCTCGTCTTCTAAGCTCAGGAAGCCTCCACTCCACCGCTGTTGCCGCTCTTGGTGGTCGTCCCATGGTACTGCCGTCCCCAGAACACTGAGGTCTTCTGCTGCAACGGGGCCACACTTTCCCCAGCATCCTCTCAGGGGCTCTCCTCGTGGTGCTAAGCCTCAGCTTTTCTCCATCAACCTTTCAGTCCTGGGCCTTCCACTGCTACTGAGGCTAGAACTTCACCAATGGCCTCCCCTGGCCTCTCACAGTGCCGAGGCTCAGCTGTTCTCCGTGACCCTTCACGCCTTCAAAACCAATATCACCTGGGTGACGCTTACACGACCAGGTTTGGCTGCCAGCACGAGGTACAACTTTGGCAGCGCCTGGGATACAACTTCTGCACACTGGCCCTAATCAAACACTTCCAAGAAGACTTCACCTCCAGGATGCTGGTCTCTTCTTAATCATTGCTAATTTCTCAGCTCTGGCTGACCGGCATCAATCACCCCAGGAAAGGAAAAATTTCACTTTAGTGGTTCTTATCTCTTATTAATCACAACCAGTTCTTCCGCTCCAGATGACCAGATACCACGGGTTATTCACGCAAGTGACCCAGTATCCTCTTTGCTTCCCTCTGAAGCTCACAAGCCAGTCGTCCTTTGTCTGCACGGCTATCAACATTCCTATCTTCAAAGTTCTAACAGAACAGCACTGAGCTCTTAACACTCAATAGCTGTCTAGTCCAAAATTCCAGTGTCCCTCCACAATTCGCCCCAAAGCAACATGGTCAGGTCTGTCATAGAAAGACCCTGCTCCCTGGTACCTCTTTCTCTTAGGGTTTCTATGGCTGTGATGAAATGCCATGACCAAAGAAAGTGGGGAAGGAGAGGGCTTATTTCGCTTACACTTCCATATCATAGTGTGTCATTGAAGGGAGTCGGGACAGGAAGGAACTCAAGCAAGGTGGGAGCTGATGGAGAAGCCACAGACGAGTGCTGCTTACTGGCTTTATGGCTTGATCAACCTGCTTTCTTATAGAACCTAGAACCACCTGCCCAGGAATAGCCCCACCCATAATGGGCTGGGACTGTCCCCATCAATCACTAATTAAGAAAGTATCCTGCAGGCTTGCCTACAGTCCCATCTTACGGAAGCATTTTCAAGAAGTTTTCTTCTCTCAGATGACTCTTGCCTGTGCTAAATTGATATAAGATTAGCCAGCACACCAGCACAGGTGGTGGTATCGCATTGTTCTTGGTCTCCTTGAAAATGTTTACCTTGCCCTTCTGCTTTCTATTGAAAATGTCCCTTTCCTCTGACATCTAAGACATCGCCTTCAAATATCTTCCTGCCTCTCTCATTGGTCCTTCATCTCCATTACAGATTCCTCTTTGATTCCAAATTTAAATGCCCACACTCCCTCAGGGTTCTTTTTAGTGATCCTCCCTTCTATACACACTATTTCGAGAAAGTTGTGGTAACTGTTGTCCCTCAGCTCCTGGTTCATTTGAGACTTTCTCTCTAACCAAATAAAATCTCCCGGCCATGCCTTCCAGTAATGCACGCCGCTAGCCTTCCAAGTGCTTGTGTGGTGGCTGGCTTGCTTTCTCACCTTCGAATACACTGAAATTCCATCTGGTCCCTTTGCGGGACATCTTGTTAGATGTTCCAGCTTTTTATTGTGTACAAACTTGATGCAATAATGCACAACCATCGGAAGCCACGCTCGACAGAAAGTGCAGGTCTGGAGACACATCATCCAGCATCTGCATCGTTAAGTATTTGAAAGGACACGGAAAGAAATGCAGCTGTGGTCGGAAGTTTGCAGAGGTAAGGCCCTCCCCTTGGATCTGTCTTGAAGATCTGGGCCTCGCAGCTTCCAGAACTGTGAGAAAATTCTTTTATTTCTGAGCACCTTTGTTGATGGTAGCCAATTAGAGCCAAACAGACTGGGGCGTAGAAATACATAGCATGATATAGTCTTCCAACAGCCGGTACCCTGGCTCAGCAGTGCCCAGCTTTGGGTGAGCCCTGGGCTCACAGCTGATCCTCCTCCAGACTCTGAGGATTGCCCCACAGCCACACCTACATCATGGTTGTCACATATCTTAGGGTGAAGGGGCTGCATCAGGTCCGAGCGCGGCAAATATTGCAGTCAGGTTTTGCCTTTTTACCCCTTTCCCTCTCCCTTGCTGAAAGCCAGCACATTCCTAAAGCTAGGCCCCAAGGTCTATTCCCTTATTTAACTACTAACTCATCCCTGAGACAAAACCCCAAGGTCCAACTATCAAAATGCATTATTTGGCTAGTGTTTTCAATCAGGATTTCCCAGGTCACCGTAAAGCAGACCCCCTTGGAAACCCACACGCTTGCTTTTCTTGCTTGTTTGTGTTTGCTGCTGCTGCCTTCCCTTCCCTTCCCCTCCAGGGTAATAAATCTCCCTTGGGCTAAGAATTTAGTGTTTGAATACGTCCTGTACTAACTCCAGGGTCTGTCTATATGACCCTTAGCTGAGGCTTTTCCCCAGCAAGATTGGTACAGGCCTTCTCCCTCACACTGGAAATACATTCTTCGTGCTTGCCTCCACATTTTTGTTCGGCAGCTGTAATGTGGGGAGCCGGAAAGAGCCAGAGAACCCAGCTGTTCATCATGCGATGTCACCATGTGATACAGCCATCCAACGACCTTGGAGTAACACAGGCAGGAAAAGACCCGATCTAGGAAGAAAACAAGTCCAGTGTTCTCATAGATACAATAGGAACATTTTACATTTCACAGTTGTGAGGATTCACAAAATAGTGAATGAAAGCTAAATGAGAAAGTAAGAGAAGATGACACCCCCCATATCCTCCCCAGAGTTTCAGAGGGGCAACAGATCACATTTCCTACCTGCTGTGGCGTCAAACCACACATTCACATCTTGGTTAAAACCTCAAACAGGCTCGGCCTGCATGTGAATCTCTCACAGGAGCCTGAAAGAAGGAAGGCTTTCAGAAACTCAATTATTCTTCATCTAGACCTGGAGCTCAGGTAAAGGGCCATGATCTCAGAGGTGAACAAACCTGGTTTTCTGCCTGCAATTCTGAAAGCCGCTTCCAGCTCTCACCCTTCCCCGCAAGGGCTAAAGACTTTCATCAGAAGAGGTGGCAGATTGCTGAGTGCGATTTCATGCAGCCCACACTCGAAACATCTGCCTTGATTGGATCCGCAACAGCTACACTCCACTCTCAGAAGACACGGGTGCTCGTTTCGTAGAGCACAGAGGACATCTAAATACGTACTGGGGCCTAGAGTCACAGCTTGTCAAACAGCTGGCTTCTCACCTGGGGTGGCTCAGCCATACTCCTAGCATTGGAGCAACTGAAACGCAACCTCTATTATCAACAGCTGCCAGATACTGCCAAGGAGAAGCACCCCAGGGGCAGGATGCATGCCTTCAGCAGCTCTTCTGCCCTCTCTGCCCAGAGCTAATGCAGCAGACCGTCCTCTTATTCACTTTCTTTTTTAAGTCTTTCCTATATAATTCTACATTTTTTCTGTTCGAGCATCAGGAGACTCTAAGTCTTTGGTTTGGTTGGTTGTTTTTCTTGTTTTGTTTTGTGGGTGGGGGAATATTGAGACAGGGTCTCATAGCTAAAAATGACTTTGGACTTCTACTCCTTCTGCCTCTACCTCCTGAAAAGAGGAATGTAACTGTGTGCCGCTGTGCCTAGTTCATATGGTACATGGGACAGAGCTCAGGACTTATCACATTCTAGATGATAGATAGGTAGGTAGGTAGGTAGGTAGGTAGGTAGATAGATAGATAGATAGATAGATAGATAGATAGATAGATAGATAG